AGATAAGGAACGGTGTGAGATTACAGAGAAGGCATTCCTACTCCAATTTTATTCCTATTCCAAGCATAAATGGAATTTGTGGATACTTACATAATATGCGCGATGTTATTACACGAACTGCTTTTTTAAATAAAAACACGAGAAATCGCAACTACGTACTTGCCATGGGCATTTACGACTGTGGAATAGGCAATGTGTTTTCTTACCGTGGATCTTGTTTGATTTACGAAATTCAACACGCCTGCAGCTGGCCTCTGACGCTGGGTAGCCTCACACTTCATGCGTATGCACAGCTGACTGTGCGAAGCACTGACATGTAGTTTTTCCTTACCCCAGATGCAGCTTTCTATCGGCTGACATCAACACCACAGACTAAAGCGTCGATGTATGAGTATATAATATATATTGCCTCATGTTTCACATCGTATCTTTCCACTAATGTAATATATCAGGAGTAGATAAAGGGAATTCCCTTTATCTTCTTATATTATTCTTATCTTCTTTTTCCCCTTATATTCCCTTTTATCTACTCCTGAATATATGTAATATCGCACCTAATTCCACTGAGAAATTGTCAAATTCTCTCTCATTCTCCAATTTCCATTTCTCCAATTTTAAACTTCGGAAAATGTGAAACAAATTTTAGTTCCATCCCATTCGATCTGTATTTTGCAGCGAATGACACAGCTACAAGCAGCTTATCGTGTTTCTTCGTATGCACCGCATCTGAAATGGACCCATCCCTGAGAAATACCGCGTTTAAAGCAGCTAGGCGCAGAGCGCTGCACGCAACGCCGAGCAAACAGCATCTACGTACGTTCGTGACGTCAGATGGAACTGAAACTTCAGCATCACATGTGCTGTAGCATCCTCATTGTTTAGTACCAAGGCTTCAGAGCAGCAAACATAGACACATCTGTGCGGCAGCTGCCCTGCCCGTGCCACGTATACGAACTTCCCACGCTCGTTTATTAATGCCCTGTGCTAAGTGCTCATTATTACGAATCTATTCAATATTTATGATAATGACAAACGATGGTAATACATGGAAATAAGGATAACAGTCCATTGTTTTCTGGATTTTTCAGCCACAGGAGAAACGCATCATACTTGAGAGATATAATCATAATATAGTCATAATCATTATATAATTTTTTTAAATTTGAATGCATACCTTCGCCACATTTACAATTTCACACTTTTTTTTCTGGATTTGACACAGTTCTGATCTCTCGATGGCCCAGTATGGCTCCTGCATGTACATCGTAAACAACGCATCTTTTCACATTTTCAGCAATATGATCCAAATGCATATTGTTGCCACCGCATCCAATGTAGCAAATTGGTCTAATTATGCTCACTTGACAGCCTACTGGGACGTTTTGCTCGCATAATGCGATACAATCCTTACGTAAAGGGGGACATTTTGGCAGATGTTGCATTGGACCAGTACTCCGGTGAGCCTGACAGACAATGGTAACCATTAGGCGACACTTGCCAAGTTTCTAGTTCTCGCCCCGTTCTATTCTTCAGATTGGTTGGACATGCTTGTTCCTGTCACGTTGTTGATGAATGAGTGGGTAGCTCCCATCTGTTGTTACGTGGACAAATCAAACGGTCTGGATTAGTGTGTCCAGGCACTGCTCCAAGTTCACTAGGTCATTGCGCAAACCCGAGAAGGATTTGTGATTTAGTGAAGTGATTCTGGTTTCTTTAATTTGGTTCATATACTTTATTAAACCTGCTATACCAGAAATTCAAAGAAATAAAACAACCTATTTGCGCTTCATGTAAACGCTTATTTCTACAGTACCACTTTACAAACATTTAATATTCAATGTTTCTGCTCAAGAATATTTCTTGTGAAATCTTATATGAAAACTATAATATATATATTATTACACACACAGACAAATGTATGTATATATATATCCATCTTTCCATAATATAAGTCTATTATTGAATTATCTGGTGATAGGCTTAAATTACAAATACTATTTAATTTTGAAATTAAATATCGACCTTGACATCATAATCCTAATCGCCTTAGAAAATTTCTACGAGCGTCCAGGAATGAGTCTTAATTGTGTGTATTCAGTTGGTTTAGTTTTTGCACCAAAGAAATCGCAATACCTTACAGTGAGTTACAGACGGTTAGTGCATGATCACTACTGCACACTGTACGCATGCAGCAAATCCCCCTTACTCCCCCAACCTAAACATCCCGCTGGAATTTACAAACAGTTTCATTATCTGCGGCGCTGGCATCGTAGTAAATGCATTAACATTGCTGGCCTGACAGAGTCCCCCATCTCCCATCATGACTAACGAGTAACGACATCTGATGTGATTGCCATTACCACATTGCACCCCCAGGCAATACTTGTCTTCATTCCGTACAGCTGAAAGGCATTTGTATGGTATAACCTACAGCCAGAAGCAAACGTGTACGCGTACTCTGACATCGGCAGCGGGCCTTCCAAAGGGAGGTTGCACACATGAAACAGTCATTAAATACGACCTTCCATGTCGTTCATGTTGAGTTGTGCGCTACTATTTAGAGGTTGGTCATTGGTCAAGGCTGAACCACCGGTCACTGAATGCGGGTATATTTGGCAGCCTGCCGAGTTGCGATGATTGTTGACTATTTTAACAGCTGACCACGTGCTGGCCCAACGTGAGCGTACTGCTGGAGCCTGCATGTGGCTGACCTCCTCACTAAGTGAGCATCAGGACGGACATGCACTGATATACCACTGAATCTGGGGATGAAACGTAACAAGCTAGGTTCCGGCTTCCACCCTTTTTGTTAAATACGCCTCTCTGTTCCTGCATGTTTATTCTCATCCACAATTTTCTCCCCATCCTGCCTTCACTCCCAGCACACCTCAACACTCGGAAACATTGGATGTTAACACACATAGATATAAGCATTGAAACGCTATATAAAACCACCCACAGGCACTTAGAACGTCTCAATAAAAAACATAATGGTAAATAAACACGAAATGTACCAAAGTCTTAATGTTTCTCTACTCTATTTCGCCTATAATCACCTGTAAATGCCGGTCAAATGCTCATCAGCAACACACAAGTACACCGAACGCCCGCCCGCGCTGTGCTGCGTGCACAAACATGAACGCCCGCCCGCGCTGTGCTGCGCGCACAAACAACATGAACGCCCGCCCGCGCTGTGCTGCGTGCACAAACAACATGAATAAAAGATAAATGAATGAATGAATGAATGAATGAATGAATGAATGAAATGAGAATGAATAACAACATAAACTCTCTTATTCACGTTCCAAGTGCCTGTGATAAAACCGACTTTGTTCTCCGCAGAACAGCAGAGATTTGCAGAAATTTTTCCCATTTATGACTTATAAATTACTAAACAGGCTGCGAGACTATAACGTCAATACACACTTCGAACCACTTGTCAGTAGACAATACCCACCTCACTTCGACATAAACGCAATTTATGACAAATAATAACAAAACATAACAAATAAATTATTCGTATACTATTGTACATTTGATCGAACTTTGACACTATGGCCGCTAGGCTGGGGATGTAACTATGCAACGATGCAAGCTATTCTGTACTTCTAGGCTACTATACTCTATAGTAAACTATTGCCGCCAGGCCATCGTGGCCATTAACGGTACTTCACAGCAGCATAATAGCTGACAAGTTGCCTTACGAATGTGAATGTCTGTATGCGTGCGCGTGTGAGCAGCCCGGACAGTGCCAGCCTCCACACATACAGCATACATACAGCATCCCTACAGAGAATAGCCACAGATCAATCAATATGCCACGTAGTGTAAAGGGGGCCGCTGCTGTATAATGCTGCCTGCATGCGTGTATGCGTGCGTGCACGCGCGCGTATGCGCGAACCCAACTTAGCAATGGGAACGGACGAAACTTTCGGGGTTGTTCATTTTCGAGTAACGGTACATGACTGCCACGCGTATGCATTGCTTGCTCGCCACTTATTTGAGAAATATTTACAGCTGAATCTGTGCCATTGTGATCAGTAGCGCCACGAGCGTGCTACTAGCTGGCAGCACATGCGCGCCTGTCTGTACCCACCGCACCCTCGCAATGCGACGTTACCTCATCGCACGCCAACGCTAACTGTTTCGCTTATTGAATGAGTACCGATAACCAAATCTACACGTCGAGCCTTCCCATGTAACATTAGGCCGCAATTACGACTACAGATGCAAGTGACAGTTCCCGAGAGTAGGTGTATGACTCAGAGATTTTCTGATAATGACTGATCTGACGCCAGTGGCTACAGAAATCAATTGCAACCGACTAATAGCCAAACGCATTCATTACTGCACTTGTATATATATATATACAGTGCGCCTTACACCATACTCTACCACGTTGTGCATCACTAATGTGTATGCATAATCGGAAGATCTAAAGACACGAAATCTTAAACACGCATCTCGAGCTTAAAGAAAATCATCACTTGAAATCGACATAGTCATATATATCGGGTAAATCACCGCGGATCTGGAAGAGTAGAAGGGAGTTTTCGCCACTGGCCGAGATATGTTACTGTAAAAACATTTCAACAGTGCGAACGATAGCAAGTATATAGAATATTAGCTCTAGTACTATAGCCCGCGTACAGTTGCCGCTGGTGGCAACTGTACGCGGGCTATAGAGTACTAGAGCTAATAGAATATATATGCAAAATCTATGTCTTCACCCATGAATGTACGGTACCAACGACGTTGGTGCCTGCAAAGCCCTAGCTCTAGAACTATAGCCCTTCGCTCTGCCACAGGCCGTGTGTTAGCTCTAGAACTATAGCCCTTCGCTCTGCCACAGGCTATAGTTCTAGAGGTAGAACAGCCCCACCTGTATGCCCACGCTCATTACTGAGCGGTAAAACACACACACAGACACGCGGGTGTCAGGTTCATCTACCTGTACATACGTGACACCTTCCCCCGCCCTAGCCGCAGCGCCAACCTACCATACGGCCTGCGCCGGACATGCTGTATTCGCTCGTTGTCCCTAAAGCTGGAATAGAGGCGGGAGTACTCCTGCCCTTCTTCTCTCAGCATCGTGTGCGTTGGCTTTACCTCCTCGAATCAAGGATAGTTTGGCACCCCCGCAATATGTTTTCGCCGCATATAATATATATATATGCTAAGCTAATCTGGGGGTGCTAAACTAGGCTTAGGCACACCTCCTCGTCTTAGCTGCAGACACCAAGAGGGTACTTTCTGCTGTGGCACTGCAATGCTCTTGATCTTTTCCTACTATAATGCGGTTCTTACTAACGCATCCAAGTATCTGATTACGAGGACCTCTTACAGACGATTGCCCGTCACGACTGACACAAAATTATTCACTTCTGAAGAATCGCTGGTCGCACAACACATAACCTTCCGCTGTAAGCTTCACTTGACACCCAGAATTCGCATCCCAACTGACACAAAATTAGACACACTTGAGGAATCGGTCGGTGGTCATGCCACACACAACAACAGTCAGTAATCAGAACAGAAATCCTTGACGGAATCGGAGCTCGCTCGAAGTGTGTGAATTACTACTCGGAGTGGTCGCGTAGATGATGCTGTGGAACTCCAGTACCACTCTCATCCTTATGTATCCAGTTTACCGTGTTGCTGAAACAGCCACCGTGATCACCTTAAATTCTCTCTCTCTCTCTCTCTCTCCCGCGTGCTCTCTCGCTCTCGATCTCGTGTAATAAATTCACAGCACCGTCTACACGTGAACATCCCAGCGCTGGTCACGCATTGTGCAAGTTGACCCGGCCGGCAGCTCGCACCGCCCGAACATCGCCTGCACCTTACCGCGAAATGGCCGGCCGTATCTGCGTCCGATTGTTCCCCGGTAGGAAGCAGAATGAACGCTACAATGCCGGTGGCGGCCACTTACACTGACTAAATGTTGAGCCGGTACGCCATTGTGGTACGCCTAGTCATGTAGTAAATCACGCGCCAAGCAGGTCGCAGACGACTGCTTACCAATATGGCCGCTCACAGCGTTAACCCCTGACGCTAATCCGTAGGTAAATTGCTGACCTAGCAACAGCACTTATAAAGGTGAAAGTGGTCGAAAGTGAACGCAAAGAGTACGCGCGCACGCACGCTGACAGCGACAGATCACCGTTTGATTGCGATGAGTAATGCTATCGGAAGGTCGGTCGACGCGCGCGCGCGCGCGCGCGCACGCACGCTGACAGCGACAGATCACCGTTTGATTGCGATGAGTAATGCTATCGGAAGGTCGGTCGACGGTGGCACCTGCAGACAACTCATACTATAGCTTCTGGAAGGCGCGCCGCGAGTGCGCAGGTATTTATAAGCGCCTCCGCAACGTGTCAGGTATCTCACACTAGCGCCAAAACATCGGGACCGTTTCCTGCTCTTGCGTGCATCATCCGAAATCTTCACAGACTAACGTACCGGCAACCAGTCTAGATGCGACTGAAACTCAAACAGAAACTTTTTGCGCGAAGGGCACTTTTCTGTAAATCAGCGATAACAGACTATGGCGATCGCTTCGTGGGTTGCACCACCTGCCGGTCTAAGCGCGTCGGCATATTGGCACAGGACTCTGAGAACTAACACCAGACTGTTGTCGCGCCGTCTTGAGAAAACACTCTTTGCTTGTATCCTGCTCGACGCGCAAAAAATACGATTCGCTGCACGGCCAATCTTCACCATGCTATAGCGACAGGTGAATAGTAGTAACAAAGCACACTGCGACGGCGGCGGTATCCGCGGCTGCAAGTGACGCCGACACGGGCCAAGACGGTATTTCACGCTTCGGCATTTACATGATTCACGTGAAATTCACCATCCTCTGCGTAGCCAACTTTGACATCCAACCTCGCACACACTTGAGTCGCTACCGGCTATATGGTTGGTTGCCAGGATGTCCAACCTAGCCAGACAAATACCACATGCTGCACGGATAAACACTGACGGTGAAATGACCCTACTTTCAATCACAGCCCAATACATTCTCACTGAATACATAATTTAAAGCTAGTTTAATCCATAATTCAACGACCCATTGTTTGTGCGGAACTGATTGGCTTAGATGGACGTTCACACCAGACCGGTTTTGTGTACACACGCCAGTAGGAAAATTCCTAATGGTGACCATCTAGATTTTTTGCATACCAGCGAAAGGTACTTTGGTGATTGCTATTAGGGGCGTGACGGCAATTAAAACTGTTGCCAATATATAACAGCACACACGCTTACAACTAACGAATAATATAATACCTACGTTTTAGCTATCTATGTGATTGCAATACGACTACTGACCCACTAAAGTTTATATTAGATAGACCACCTACTTGTTTGGTGCGTATTTGTATTTTATCAGTACATACATGTACCATGAATAAATTCAGCTGGTTGAGGCTAGTCATGTTTGTTATGAGTGACGTGAGTACCTTTGAACCTCGTCTGTTAGTTGTTATCTATTTGCACTATTACTATATAGCTTCATTCTAAACCACAAAGCAGCTAAACGTCAATTTGACATTCTAGCTCTACGTCATATATGCATACTCATACAAAGCATATTCGTTTCACATCATGAAAAAGTAGACATGAAAAAAATTGGTTGCTTTTCATGTGTTTTATGGCAACACCATCGTAGAATCAAAGTTTACTATTTCTGAAACTTTACAGACAGTAATAGGAATAGAACACATAATGAGAAGTACAGTTACAATACACTGTTATAATACACACTGGGCATTCACAATATATGTGGGCCGTTTTCCTCATTACATTTCATTTTAAAATATATGTGGTAGGGATGCCTTACATTCCTTGCCTACTGTATCTAACTTAAATACCTATATGTTTTTTATTGAAAACACTAGCGATAAAAACAATCGCACGTAGGAATGCACAACGCAAACTGTTTACTAGATCCCCCACCTCGAGCCTGGTTTTGGTCATAAACCGGAAGAAAAAACGTTTATGCACTTGCAATAAAAAATAAATTGCTGGCCCTTTTTCAGTTCGTCTCGTTGAAATACGAGAGTGAGTAATACCAGTTATCAGATATTTTTTAAATAAACGTGATATTATTTACGTTTTTATTTTTTTCAAAACTGCTTCAATAAGCTGCATGGCAAGTGTTTTATTATCTGGACAAAGATATGAACGCTCTAGAAAAAATTCCCAATATGGTTTTCACACAAAGGGGCAACAGGCCCAAGCCATCTGCCATCAAACACAGCTGCACACGTCATAGCCCAAGGAACAATGATTTCCAACACCCGAGACATTTAATGACCCTGGACCTCATCAGAAAGAAACTCAATCTCAATTAACTTTTGGTACGCCGCGAACAAAAAGCAGCACAAACGCAACGAATTTGCCAAAGCACCAAATTGCGGGAGGCTCCGGAAAATCTGTTACGTGTAGGACAGACGCATAAAAATGGGCGTTTCCGCCCGTGGCTAACGAGCCACGTGCACAGAAACAACTAGACAGAGTGCACCCACGGAGAGTGCATACCTCCGCCAACGACATACGCCATACGACTCACGAACACACGAATAACCCACGATATACGCCAGCGTACTGACATGTACACGCTGGCTTGCTGGCTTGCTGCTCGCTCGCTCGCTGCTGCTGCTCGCTCACATGTACACGCTCGCTGGCTTGCTGACTCGCTGGCTCGCTGGGTGATATCGATCGACCGCCAACGACATACGCCATACGCCTCGGCGCGCTAATATCGATCGCGCGAACACACGAACACACGAACACACGAGAGCGAAAACATAACCTCCTCCAACTCCGTTGGGCGGAGGTAATTACAACTGCTTGGAGCCATTGCCTGGTCGGGGCGCATTTGGTACAGGGGCCTCGCTCTGCCCTCGCTCACGCTTCGTAAGCGACCACGGATTTTATTGTAGCAGCAGGCAAGACTGGAACTATAGCTCTAGAGCTATAGCACTTCGCTCTGCGGCAGAGCGAAGGGCTATAGTTCTAGAGCTAGACTGGATCTAGATGCATTCCGCTCGCGTGATTCCGTGATGTAAGGTAACACAATGCCCGTGCGTCGTGTGTAAACCAATAATTTATTACACTTAGTGAGCTCCCATGCATGTAATCGTCAGCGCAATAAATAACCAAGACGATGAGTGCGCCACATTTATCACTTGTAAATGTCGCCAGCCAAAATGCCCCTCACTTACACACAGACCACTTCAAGGTACCAAGTAGCTCTAACCGTGCCAGACCTTCGCTCTGCCACAAGTAAGCAAAAGACTTTCACTTTCAAAACCTTCTGACCAATGTGTGTGCGCTTGCACTGCATACGTGCATGCGTGCGTGCGTGCGTGTGTGCGTTCGTGCATCCTTGTTCTGTGCCGACTGTACGGACATTATTACGGACGATATCATCCATCCCTCCTGCCCGTCTATAATCACATCACCTGCCACCTCCCTCTATACATATAACCCTGGGCCCAAACTATAAGCACACGAGTTCCTACATGAAATCACATGGCTGGATACCCGACAACCCGTTTCATGTAAAATATTAACAATCCCCGCCATGTTTAAAGATCGTCATTACGTTGCGTTGGCCGAGCGAGACGGCCAATCATAATTGTACCTCTAGCATCATGCATATAATAAATATAGCACGAGCAGTTGACTAGAGCAGCTGTCTACCCATCCCCCACGAACCTTCTCCCCCCGACAAAGGCGCCATAAGTCGCATATGTTGACGCTAGTTCAACCAGCGTGACGCCGACCGGGAAAAAAGCAGCCTCCTCCTCCTCCCTTCTATTCCCCTCCTCCACGACATGATCAAATTCACTCCATGGTCCAGAGTTTACGCAATGAAAACCCGCCGCGTTTGCAAATTCAGCCGGCGTGGCGCTCGTGGACGCAGACGACAGGATGAGCTGAGTCTAAACAGAACGAAGAGGTGCGATGGAGTAAAGACAGGAGTCCGCTGCATATATTGGCCTAGCCGATAACGCTTCATATGGCAGCCACTGATAAAGCGCTGAATGACAGACAGGAGGTTGAAAACGGTCACGGACGCGAATGGTTACGAGGATTCGGAGGATGAGAAGGATGAGGTGGGGGAGGTTAAGTAAAGATGAAAGATGATCCGTAGGAGTAGGAGCACATGGCAACGCATCACGTGGAACAGGATGAGCAGAAGCCAGGAAACATTATCTGTAGAGAAAATACAAACTTACGACCACACGTGAATTCATCGGCACTACAAATACTAGATGCAGAATTCACGTGTTCTGTGAATGCACTCCGGGTCTGCGAACTGTAAGCACTTCGTTCTAACAGCGTACATGAAACGCCAGTATGGGATCGTAGTTACGTCAGGCGGACGCTGAGGATTATATAGCCATCGTAGCATGACTATTATATTCCCTACCAATACATGCGCAGTTACGTCATAGATACACGCACAGCGACACGCACGCATTGACAAATGACACTTCGTTTAACCGAGGTGGTTACTGGGCCATCAGAAGGTGCTATTTAACCCCGTGGATTATATAATATTCATCAACGAATGGTGCAACGCAACATGTAAACTGCTCACACATGGGGGCCGGGCCCTCACACTGTACATCTACGTTACAATGTGTACATACAAGCATATTCCTCACCGCTATACATCGTGCTATGGGACATCTATCCAGCAAATACCACTTGATATTTTAATTGAGAACCAGAAACCTTGTAAAGCCGACCACAGAAAATAGGGTATAAACAGAACTAATCATGCTTTCCCAATTTTAAATTTTAAATTAAAAGCAAATGGTTGATGGATACGTCACGGTCATAGGGTTGACATTGTATAATTCCAAATGTACTCCACTCATAAAATTATATGAGTATTGCCATAAAACAATATAATTATGTAAAGCTATTATCTATCTATACTATAATTTGGCTAATCTTGTGTGTGTGTGTT